CCGTCCTCGCTGCGTTTTGTGTTGTCTCGTGCGCGAGCGGCTTCGCGTGCGCTCGCTCGCGCGTGGAGATCGCCTTCTCCCTCAGTCAGTCAGCGTCAGCGAGTGTATACTGAAGTCCGCTCGCCAGTCGGACCGCCAGCTCGCGAGCTCGGGCTAGTCGAGAAAGGGGCGAGGAGAGAGAGAGAGAGAGACAGAGAGAGAGAGAGAGAGAGAGAGAGAGAGAGAGAGAGAGAGAGAGAGAGAGAGAGAGGGACAGAGAGAGAGACAGAGAGAGAGAGAGAGAGAGAGACAGAGACAGAGACAGAGACAGAGAGACAGAGACAGAGACAGAGAGAGAGAGAAAAAAAAAGAAACAGGCAGACAGGCAGTCGGACGATGGAGCTGGCTCGAACATGCACAAAAATGCTCGTGCACCCCTTGCGCTTTGCCGCACTGTCTGTCGAACCTCTTCACGAGAGAGACGCCGCCTCGTAGAGCCCACTGCTTGCTTCCCAGGCACTACGCTACACTGCAGCAGTCTGCTGTTGATCGCCCTTTGTTTTTGCCGATCTTCGCGCATGCACGGCCTGTGTGCTGTGTATTTCAGGTTCAAGCTCTTTACAAACGGCCGCAGCCGCATCCTCATTACGACGGATGTCTGCTCTAGAGGCATCGACCTGCCCAACATTAAGCATGTAGGCTTTGCTGGTGTCGCTGTTGCCTGCAGCCTCGCTGCATTTTTCCGGAGAGTGATCCATCGCTCCCATGCACTGCACGCCGGGTGTGCGCAGCCACTGATTGACGCTGTAGCAGCAGATAAATGCGCGAGCCTCTTCTCGCCTTCGCCTCCGAGTCCACCACTACCACCTTTTCCCTTCGTGCGTTGCAACAACTGCCGCAATTCGTCTGTCTGCTTCTGCATTTCGCCGTGCAGGTTGTCATGTTTGGCATGCCCCACCATCTCTCCGATTATTTGCACCGCGCTGGGAGGGTCAGCAGGGGAGGCACTCCTGGTCGCATCACAGCGTTGCACAAGAAGAGAGACACCCCCTTGCTGCAGCAAATACTTACCGCGACAGCCACTGCCACCCCTGTTCCGCCGCAGCCTCCTTCTTCTTCTGCTTTTCCCCAAGAGCAGCCGCAGCAGACGCAGCTGCAGATGCACCAGATGCCTCGCGCACACGCGCATCACGACAACCAGCCCCTTCCCGCACTGGGAAACATCAGCTTTGTCAGCAACAGCAGGACCAAGCGGATCCTCCGACTGCAGCGGAGGTGGCAGCAACTCTTGGACATGAAGTAGGCGTCTGCAATAACACCCCACGCATGTCTCTTCTTGCTCCTCGCTGTCTGTCATTCGATGCTTCTGTGCCGCCAGCGCCGTCGCCCTCGCTGCTGCTGTTGTCAGAGTGCTGCAAAGGCAGCGACTTCCGCTGCTGCTGCGTCGTAGTCGCTGCGAACTGTTTCCCGAGACAGCACGCTGGTCTCCCTCCGCCCCTATTGAGCCTCCACCAACGGATTTTTAGCATAGGCGCGCACGCCGAAAAGATCCCCTCAATTCCTGCGGCAAAGGCGCATGCGACTGACGGTTCCGCTGTGCAGAAACAGAAAGCGAAAGATCGGCGGGCGAAAGGCGGTGGGACTGGCGCCTCGTCGAGGGCTCGCAAGCCTCCGCAACAAACATTACCTCAAGAAGCTGCATTTCAAGTGAGAATTTGAGCATGCAGAAGTTGCCAGCACCAAAGGCTGCAGCCTTCTTTCCTCCCCTGCAGTCGGCGGCAGTCACGCGAGCCTAAAGTCAGGAAGAAAGGCCTCGTAGCCGTGAGAGTGCCTGGTGCTGCCTTTGTCTACGCCGTCGACCCCCCTTCCCTCCCCCGCGTTTAGCATGGGAATGCATGCGACTGCGCTCGCTATATGCAGTCGAACGCTGAGGCTGCTGCAATTGCTGCGTTTTTGCGACATGCTGATGGCTGTCAGAATGAAGGCAGAGAAGAAGCTCGCTGACCTTAAGAAGCATGGCGTCCTCCGCAAGTCGCACAAGCTGCCTCGGTACTGAACAGCTACACTCCTGCTGCTGTCGAGAAGAGGCTGTTGTTGCTGCTGGAATTTCGTCCTTTTAAAGATGCAGGGGAGCTCCTTCTTCCAGCCGCTCGGGCTGCTTTGCTTCTTGCTGCTGATGGCTGCTGTTTGTGCAGGCGTCCAGACAGTGTAGTTGAGAGGAGCGAGGCGCAGCAGACTGCGAAGCTTATTCGAGGAGCCGATGGCCACATGCAGCTCCTCGCGGTGCGGAGAAGCAGGAGGAAGCAAGAGGAAATCAGGATGCAGTCAATGGTATGCACGGCAGCTTACTGTTGCTGCTGATGGTAGCTTTTTGGAAGGCTGCGCTCCTCTTCATGTCGCGGCTGTACGCCGCTTGTGCGGCTGTGACGCTGTCGAGGCAGCAGGAGAGGATTCTCGGGGAGTTGTAGGCAGCTGTTCAGCCTTGGCACTATTCAACGCTCAGCATCTGCCGAGTCAGCTGTGCAGAAACCTCCCAGTATCTGCGGAAGCATGGCCTGTGTATGGGTGCTTCCTCAGGCTGGACGTTACGAAGACGCCAGTGTCACGCAGCCCATTCCGGGGGTTCCCACCTTCTCGGAAACGCACAAAGTTAGAGACCGTCGTCCTCTATTTTAGCACTCACGCGCTGCACTGCCACGTGACAGGGGCCCCCCACCTGCCCTAAGGTGCGCGGCGAGGATTGTTGGCACGGGAGGCTGGTTTTCCAGCTGCAAAAAGGCCTTTTTGAGGCCTAGGATAGTCAGTCGAGGAGCGTCGTGGTGGCAGCGCTAAATGAGCGCGATCATCGGCAGCCAAAAAACCACACTAAAAGGCTTTTTCCACCGTTTCCGATGGCAGCTATTGTTGCCCCTTCCTTTGAGGAGCGTGCTGTTTTCCCTAAGCACGGCGTTTTTCGTTTCTCAGTCGTGGACCTTCCACTCAGCTCTCTCTGCAGCGCGATCCTACACAAATAGCTTCAGTTTCACCCCCTCCCTCCCCCCCCCCCTCTCCCTCTCCCGCCCTCCTCCTCTCCCCCCCCGCCTCCCCCCTCCTCCGCCTCCTCCCTCATCCTTCTCGCTCCCTTCGCTACCTCCTCCTCTCTTCTTTTGTCTCGTTTGTGCTTTCTTTGTCCTTCTTTATATTATTTGTCCTTCTTCGATCCTTACAGCTTGGCCGCTCTCTTGTCAGACAGAGAGGGGAGGAAGCGGTCAAACA